ACCACCACCACCACCACCACCACCACCTTTATAAATTCAAACAGTTTAACACTGGTTTCATAGCCGGCATTCCACTATTAACCTCCACCACACACTCCTACTCTGTTGTGTTTTAATAAACAAACAATCTGTTGTTCCGCATATCTGCGTTTTACGGCTCGCTCAGTCAAATGAGTAAAGGCAATTAAGAGTAAGAATTCAACAGAAGGGGGGGGAAAAAACTCTCAAACACATCTGTAGTCGAGCAGAGCAAAGGGTTCTGCAGCTTTGATAGCAGCTAATTAGATTGGTTCTAAAGTTTGCGAAGCATCTCGCTAATTGCTTCCTGACGCTTTCAGGTCACTAGGCCTCCTCCCTCTTGGACACCCCACCAGTGCACCAACCTCCTCTCACCTTCTCTCTTCTCCCTCTCGCGCTTTCTCTCTCTCACTTTTTACTCCTGATACACATCAACAAATCTTCTGTAACCAAGGAGATTGATACGCTCTGTTGACCCCCGCAACTGCTGCCTGGATTCACCCTCTGACAAGGTCCCCTTCAATTTGTGGTCAGGGTTGTACACAGAGTACAGATAAGACAATGAGAATATAGATGGTGGGGAAGAAAACGGCACTGCGCTGAGATCTAAAAGGAAAATGAGGAAGAAAATGGATTTAGCGGATGCTTGAAAGGGTCCCTTAAGTGTGAGGCTTAGCAGGAAACGGTGTCAGTAGTCATTGTATTTGAGAATTTGAGTCATCCAGACAGAGGAGCTCATCGCATCTACAGCGAGTCCAGGACCGCACACCGCATTGCTACGGGCTCAGGCAGTGCCACCATCCTGAATTACAGGTCACAGTGAAGCAAATATGAACCTTTTCTAAAGAGCAAACGAGTGAATCAACAGCTGGGTCAACTTGTGAAGTCTCATTTTACAATCTGGCTTTCAAAATTATGCTGCCCTTTCCCTTTTTGCCATCTTAAAATCTTAAAGAGAACCCTGTTATTATTCCCTTTAAATGCACCCGTACGGTAAATTAGGAAAGAGGAACACAGCCGTGGTAAAATCATAGATAAAAATGGAGCTTTGATTTGCAGTACTGTAAATACAGTTAAGGCAATGAAAGCATTGACTATACACACAGCAGAGGGGAATAAAGAGACTGAATGAAAAATACTCTGCACTCGGTGGTGCACTCATCGATTCGCTTTTTATCAGTGACAAAAAGTTCTGAAGAGATCTTGGAGTGATAGCAAATAAAGGAAAAGGTAAACACGACTCAAACAAATGTACCAAAGGAAGGTAACCTTCGAAGAGTCCACCTTACTTTATAGTTGGACGTTGTACGTCCTTGGAAGAGCCTTTTACATTTAAGTAGTCACAAAACCGGGAAGCGGACAGCCGAGGTCCAGAAACGCTGCAGCATCATTTGAAAATTTAATGAGGCAGCAACCGACATAAAGCTTCTTCAGTGTCGATGATGAAAAGGAATTCATAGGTAGAGGTGAAGGAGAGTGTGTGTGTGTGTGTTTGTGTGTGTGAGGGATGAGTCAGAGATTCATATGACAAATCAGACAGGAGAGACACCGGGTGACGTAGCCAGGCTGGCTCGCCAAAACCTACAACCCCAATCAGAGATGATGGGTATCACCAATACTGATTATCCTTGTTAACCCAGGCTTTCTGTTTCACGCACTGTGTGTGCCCTCATAAAAGGGCTTGTTTGAAGCCTACTTAAATCAAAAGCATTATCAGATGAATGGCTGATAGAGATCTATAAAGAATATATCAAAATATAATGGCAGAAGCCCGCACTGGTGCTGCAAATAAGGCAAGAGAGCAGCTGGCAGAAAATCGTTAATCTTGTGAATTCATAAGTGAATCTATTTATTTTACCACCCAGTGCTGACATTTATGTCTAAAGTTACAGCTGCAAGCTACAGGGGTGCCAGTGCATTCGCCTCTGATGCCGTCCCACAGCCTGATGGCAAAGATGTGGAAGTCTGCTGCCAGATCAAAGTGAAATCAAATTTATTGATACATTATTCTTGCTGATAAATAACCTCCACATAAACCAATCAGTTTTCTGATCCGAGCTGCAATTCCTGCAGTGTAAAATGGACTTGGATTCAACGAACCCGTATAATTCCTTTGGTGGTATTGCGATGTATAAGACATATTCCTGCTACTGAGAATCCATAGCAGTGGTTGTGCATGTGTGATTGAATAGGAGGCTAATAGCTGTGGGTGACATACCAAGGCATGTAGGTGGTTTAAACAATTGACTGACAATAATTTAGAAATGGCAACGTGAAAGTAATCCACATCCACTTTAAAATGAGTTCAAGAGAGCAAATCTGAACATGTTGTTGAAGGAGAATCTTTGGCTTTATTTGGTTGAGCTGTTATAGTGGAAAAAAGGTGTCTTCTCCATCATTTTTGCCCCATTTTTTAAAGTTTCATGTGTCTTTATGTTTTTTTCCCCAAGCAGGTTTGATGAGTATGCCCGGTGACTCGGGTCAACAGGCCCGCACCGCCTGCTCCTACCAGCACTCTCCTGGTGGGGGAAGCGGCAGCGGCCACCACCACCAACACAACCATGGCCAGACATCGCACCACCCTCACCACTCTCACGTCTCCCCTCACTCCACCCACGGTCAGCACCAACAGCACTCTGGTCACTCTCAGCAGCACTCGTCTCTCTCCCACCAGCAGAGTCACGCTGTGCAGGCCTGCCCCACAACAGGTGAGAACAGGTTTACAGACAAAGGGCATTACAGCATGTGTAGGATCTTCGGTGTCGCCTACTGGTGCACAACATCAGGAAAAACATGGGCAGACTTTAGCAACTTTCTAACAGGGATTGAATAATACTTTGCCAATCAGAGTAATAATAATAACATCAATACATCAGCTTGCACTGAACATACCAGGTCTTTAAATTTGAATGTGAAAGCTTTCTTTTAACGATAACATGAATGTTCACTAACAAAGCAACACGAGAGTCCCTTTGATTGTAGTTAATTACTCTGGGAGAGAGGTTACAAAGGCACAGATACTCATTGAGGTGAAAGGCAATTCATGTACTTTAAAAAACCCTTATCCTTAATTACCATAATTTGTTTCAAAATCACAGAATTCAGTTAATTCGGAACAAATTTACTCAGAAACCACAGACAAAAGATGCTTTATATCCCAGTTTCCATCAACATCTGGGGAAGTTTGTGCAGACACTGCACAGGAGCAGGAACTGCTTATATGATGTGCTTAATATACACAATATAGACCTGACCACTGGTGTTTTACCTTCACAGCCCCCTCATTTAGGATATGGATAACCATAATTCTTTGTAAGATCTATTTCTGGCATTTTAGCCTTTATTGAAAGGGCAGGAAAGCAGGGGGAATGACCTGAAGCACATGGTCTCGGGTGCATTCAGACTCAGCTTCTGCAGCAGCCTTTCGGCATGAGGTCCTGCTCAACCAAGTGAGCTATGCTGGCATTGAGTATAAGCGAAATTCTTCTGGCCTGGTGAACAAGTGGTTATATTACACCAAAAGCAAACCTTCCTCACTATTACCGTTCACATTATGTTTTCCAAGAAACAGAAAACCAGTAATCTCAGCGTCCTCGCAGCAAGAAAGTTCCCCCTGCTGCCCTTGTGCCCTCGGCTTTCACCTACATCCAGAGTCATGCTTGTCAGGTTAGCTGGTGATTTTAAAGTGGCTGTAGGTACAATTGTATGCCTCTGTGTGCAGGGCGTACTCTGTGTCTTAACAGCTGGGGATTAGCTCCAGCGCCCCTTCAACCCTAAATTAGATAAACAGTTAAAAAAGAAATGGATGGCTTGATGCTTTTAGACATGGGGAAACAGGCAGTTAAAGAAATAATAAAGTTGTTTGCTTATCATTTGAAAATGGGTTTAAAATGTAAAACATGTGCAACAGTAAAAGAAAAAGAAAAGCAAAATATGTTTCTTTTTATCTGGCGTGACTGTGATTAGCAGTGGGGGAGACCACCTTCAGGGTTGAAATGACAAAATTATGAAAATATTGTCCGGTGTTCTTTTCATTCCGATGCCGCTGTAGAAGAGAAGACCTCCTATTACCGAGACTTTCACTTTGAAAGCCCCAATGCTATTTCTCCAGTTTCTCTGCTTTTCTAATTCTCCTGAAAAGACCATACAAAGCTCAAAGTATAGCTTCACATATATAGGCGCACCAAAACACTGATTCAACATTGCGATTTCCAAGGCCACATTGGTGTAACTGCAGTTCACCTAACACATCAGAATGGCACATCTGTGTACGCGGGCATTGGATTTGTATTGTATTCTTTCCTCTATAAGGTCCCAAAGTGTTTGATTTTTATGAGGCTGAGCTGATACAAACAGGCTTCTCCAAATCTTCACGAGGCTTTTCCTACTCATATTCCCAGTCTTTGTGTGTTTTTTTTCTCTTCGTGTCTCTGCAAGAGAGCTCTCAGGCCAGTGGAAAAGCCTATTTAGACATTATTTATCTAGGTTAGTATTCCCCACAACCAAGCTGAGGATGAATGAAAGCAACCTCTCTGTCTTTGATCCACGGCCTGAGAATGTATTGTTGTTTGGGTTGTGGTGGTGAAGGCGCTGAAAAGAATCTTCTTTCTTTTGCCTCACAAGCAAAGCTATGACTGGATTTTGTTGTCTTTCTTTTTGTGTGTAAACTCATGCCACCTTGTGGCTGTTTGCAGAACAGACAGATCTTTTTAAAGTGAATTAGTTTACCAGTTTGGGATCATCTAACAGTGTTGTGTTCTTCAGTATCACTGCAGATAACCAATGCTGTTTTATATCTGGGATAAATCTTTTGAAACACGCAATTTAAAGACACCATATTTGGTTTATTTTGAGA